CTTGCTTCCCTTGTGACATTGTCCTCATATTGTTTGCCGTGTCTCATTATGTGATCTATGTGGACGAGGTGTCAGATGCATGCACTGCATCTGCAAAGACAAGAGGGAGCATCCGTGATTGGCTGGAAATGACATCATTGGAGGGTTACTGGTGATGATTAGGCTTTCCTTGCAACACATCGTAATCTACCCTAGCCTCCTCTCCTCCTCCCATCCCCCTCTCCACCTTCTCCTAGGAATGTTTATGTCATTGTTTTACACTGAATCAAGGTGTATGGGGTTGCTCTGTGGCTTCTGCAGGGGTAAGACTGCACAGTCCAACGCAGTGATAGACACTGGAGAAGTGTAATACAAGCAATATCATCCATCTTCTCTCCATCAATCTCTTTCTCTTTCCTGCCTCCAATGCCGCACATAACCTCTCCCACTTTCTTCCACCCTCTTTCTTTCTTTCTTTCTTTCTTTCTTTCTTTCTTTCTTTCTTTCTTTCTTTCTTTCTTTCTTTCTTTCTTTCTTTCTTTCTTTCTTTCTTTCTTTCTTTCTTTCTTTCTTTCTTTATTTCTTTCTTTATTTCCTTCCTCTTCTTTCTCTCTGCATCCTTTGAAAAGCACTGTACCTCTCTCCTCTGCTCATAACTCACACAGGCGCATTCTCTCATCAGCACCCACTCATCTCCTCTCTCTCTCTCTCTCTCTCTCTCTCTGTCTCTCACACTCTCCCTCTGCACACGACTCTCCTGCTGGCATGAAACTGCATGACATCATCTGGACTGGTGCAAGCAGAATAGCAGATGAGGACACTGTGTGTGTGTCGGCACCCTCCCTTCTTTGCGCCCTCCACGTTCTGTCTAATTACAATGCACCTTGAGATGATAAAACCACCTCTCTCTACTGCGTGCTGTGTTAATGTTAATGGGTTTGTTTCATTTGCCTCCCTGAATCGCTGCACTCTGCAGTCCCTGCCCTCCACCCCTGCCTTACAACACTCATGTATTATGACATCATTCGAATGCACCCGACTTCTTGCCTTGAGGGCAATAATCATCAATATTAATGTTGCCCGCTATTGATGCTTGTTAGTCTTCACACAGAAATGTCGGTTTTAATGTTTCGATAATTTAATTGATGTAAATAGGTGGACGGCTCATGTTCCTTTCATCCCAAATTCTCCCTCTTTTATCTCCCATCTCCTGCCTTTATCTGTTTTCTCTCCCTGTTTGTGCTGTGAACCCTGAGTGATGTCATAGCCGTGCTGGGAGTCTGTGTTCCTGATGGGACTGGGATGTTCTTAGAGCACTTTGTGTTCTGTTCCTAGGGTTGCAATATTCCAGGAACTTTCAATAAATTCCCTGGTTTTCCAGAACTCCTGGTTGGAGGATTTCAGATTTCCTGTTTATTCCCTCCTGATTCCAGGAATCCTCCAATCCTCCAAAAAGGGAATGTATTGAAAGTTCCTGGAATTTTGCAACCCTATCTGTTCCACACACCGCTTCCACGCATGGCATCATGGGACATGAATGGGATCTAGCGCCGTGGCATCTCACAGTAGCCTAACACTGTCAGTACAGGGTTGGACAGTCCTAGTCCCACAGTGCTGCAGGGTCTGCAGACTTTTGTTCCAGCCCAGCACTAACTAACACATCTCATTGATAGTGAGGCAGGTGTGTTAGTGCTGGGCTGGAATAAAAACCTGCACACCCTGCATGTTCTCTAGTGTTTTCATTATATTATGGAACCAATAAAAGTACTTCAATGCAAGCAAATTACACTGAGTGTACAAAACATTAGGAACACATTGAGGAACACATCCTCATATTGAGTTGCAACCCCTTTTGCGCTCAGAACAGCCTCAATTCATCGGCGCATGGACTCTACAAGGTGTCGAAAGCGTTCCATAGGGATGCTGGCCGATGTTGACTACAATGCTTTCCACAGTTGTGTCAAGTAGGCTGGATGTCCTTTGGGTGGTGGACCATTCTTGAAACACACAGGAAAATGTTTAGTGTGGAAAAACCCAGCAGCGTTGCAGTTCTTGACACACTCAAACCGGTGCGCCTGACACCTACTACCATACCCCCGTTCAAAGGCACTTAAATATTTTGTCTTGCCCATTCATCCTCTGAATGGCACACATACACATTCAATGTCTCACTTGTCTCAAGGCTTAGAAATCCTTGTTTAACCTGTCTCCTCCCCTTCATCTACACTGATTGAAGTGGATTTAACAGGTGACATCAATAAGGGATCATAGCTTTCACCTGGTCAGTCTATGTCATCTAAAGAGTAGGTGTTCATAATGTTTGTTACACTCAGTGTATATATTGATCACTATTTAAAAAGTCAATTTACATCTTAACTTTATTTAAACACCATTAAAACGGAGACACTTGAAAGAGAACCAGAAGAACAGATGGACCGTTTTAAATAGCCTTTGACAGGCTGCAGTTGATCCAGACACAGTGTGTCTGTGTGTGCACATGAGCGCGCGTGTGTGTGTGTGTGTATGTGTGTGTGTGTGTGTGTGTGTGTGTGTGTGTGTGTATGTGTGTGCGCGTGCGGTAGCTGATCCAGACAGGGCTGTTGGCGAGGTGTGTGGCCTAGTCATCAATAGCTCTGGGACTGAAGACAATGAGACATAGATCCCTCTGTGCTGACAGTAATAGATCTGACATTTACTGCTAAAACCTGACTGACTCAAACCAGCCAGAACTAGCTCTTCATTCAACATTATTTTGATTCTGATTTTGCAAATCACTTTTTGTTCAGAGTGCTTTGAATACGTTGCAGTGCTTGACTTTGGCAGGAGCTCACCGGAGCTGGATTCTGGCACCTCAAATGTTCTACTTCTTGATCTCCTGTTGCTCAAAAGTTTTGTGGATCTCCTGCACCTAAATATAAACAGTACCGGCACCCAAAATTAGTACTGTCACCTATTTCAGTCCAAGTCAAGCACTGATGTGTTGTAAAGGAAAAAGTACATGCAACGCTCATGCAAAATCACTGATGCCTCCACTCAACAAAGGGTTAAAGAACACCCCCTTAACCCCTGCCTATTCCACCTCCATATTACCCCCGCCCCCTCCTCTCCACTAGCACTCCAGCCAATCAGGGGCCTGGATACCTCTGGGCCAATGGGATGGCTAGGAGGTGATGTCATGCAGTAATAGCTGGTTGTGGTGCTGATGCTGCTGAGCGCACAGCCCAAACAGCAGCATAACGACAGAGAAAGAGGGAAAGAAAAAGAGAGATAAAGAAATAGGAGAGTACCACCAGCATTGCTCAGTACAGGGTAAGTCCATCTAAACTACCGAAACTAAAAAAAAATATGGCAGGTTGCATTCAACAATTTCAACAATTTATATTAATTTCCAAAGCTGTTTTCTTGTATATTTTGCTGATTTAAGTGTTTTCTGTTGTGTATTCACTACATATTGGTCTGTTTCATATTTGAAAAGGCTTTAGCCATCTGAAAACAGAGTGTATGTGTGAGATGCCTCTCTGCTGCAGTCAGATGATGGACATTCTCTGTGCACCACTGACTATGACATCCCCCGAGTTGCACAGGGAGTTTACATCACTTCAGTAGTTTCTGCTGTAGAGGTGTGTGCTCAGTGTCTGGCTGCACAGATTAACCACAGATGGAGATAATATATTGAAATGTTGTGATGCTTACAAGAAACAGTCTGACATAGATTATTTTGAAAATTGGCTTTAATTCACATAAATGCAGTTTATGCAATTCATACAGCGTGTAGTGCTTATTATGCATTTATTACAAAGTGAGATCTCAGCGTGTGTGCATGTGTGCATGCAGGTTCACGCCTTTGTGTAAGATAGTGTGGGGGCCTTTGGTTTGGAAGCCATTGTAAGTCAGAAAAGCATGTTGATTTCAAGAAGGTGAAGGATTTAATGAATTGCACATCTCTTTCTACTTCTCAGTCAATGCTCACAGTAGGCAGGCTCAACAACAGCAATGTTCAGTATGGAACAGTAGTCCAACAGCTAGTCGTGACTGAAATTTTTTGGGGGGATATTTTATTATTGTGTGGCCTAGTGTCCTAGCAACTGTTGCAAGGTAGCTTTGTGTAAGCATGTGAGATGAGGGGGCAGTGAGAAAGAGAGTGCATGGAGAGAAAAATGAGAAAAAACAAATAGAGAGAGAGAGAGAGAGAGAGAGAGAGAGAGAGAGAGAGAGAGAGAGAGAGAGAGAGAGAGAGAGAAAAAAACATCCAGATTCTCTGTGGGTGGATTATTTTGTTGTCTTTGTGGTGAAATGAATGGACCACAAGTGAGTCACAGTGATTGCTTGAAGAGCAGGAGCTAACATAAATGGAAAGATGTATGTTATTATCAAGCATTTCATTGATCTATTTTTCTTTCCTTCCATCACTCTCTTCTTTTTGCTGTAGACAATAAGGCCTCTATGTTATGTGAGCAAGCTAGGTAGGCCCTGCCTTGTTTTATCATAACAATACAGTACCATCATGCTCTGATAATGAGTGTGATCTGTCCATCTGATTATCACGAGGAGAGACAGAGGGCTTGAGAATGGTTAGGTCACTTCTGCGGTAGAATACTCCCCCCCCCCCCACCTTATCCCTTTCACACCCCTCCCTCTCTCGTTTCGTGACAAGCGTAGGGCCTCAAGTGCTCTCGATGAGTGGGTTTGAATGAAGGCTTCACAGTAGCTCACGATGGGCCAGTTTTATTGTAATGGTAGTGGGATTCTGTGGCAGTACAGGGATTTAACATGTGTTTGCAGATTTCAGGATCTGATGATAAAGCATCTTTCTTTGTCTCGCCTTTCAGAACTATCTGATTCACCACAGTGTCTTTAGAAGAAAAACAAGAGGCAGAATGACTCTTGCAGGTACTGTGTGTGTGTGTGTGTGTGTGTGGTGTGTGTGTGTGTGTGTGTGTGTGTGTGTGTGTGTGTGTGTGTGTGTGTGTGTGTGTGCGAGTGTGTGTGTTTGTGAGTGAGTGAGAGAGATAGAGAGTCTAATGCTGATTTCACTTAATATTCTCTCCCCTGCAGCGTACAGAGACAAGATGCGGGAGCTCCCTTTAGTGTCCATCTTCTGTTCCTGCATCCTACCTGAACCCAAAGAAAAGCCCACCAAGAAAGAAGGTAAACAGTTTTACACAATTCTACCACAATCATCAACCTACCATTTCCACAGCACACCATTTAAGCCATTTCAGTCAATGAGCCAGTAATCAGATGAATATAATTGTTTTTTGAGGCCGCTACAAAGATGGCAGGTACACAAATGGCAACCCCCCCCCCCCCCCCCCCCCCCCCCCCAATTTCCTTTGGGTTCTTCCTTTATACAATCTCACACTTTTCTTCATCTCTGCCTGCCCTTTGCAGGTGTGGTGGACCTGAACCTGTGCATCATCAGGGATATGGAGGTGATTGAGTTGAACAAGAGAAGGTCCGGCCAGGCCTTCGAGGTCATCCTGAAGCCACCCTCGTTCGACGGGGGTCCAAACACCCTCGCCACCACACCCCCACGCAGGGAGCCCTCCCTGGAGGAAATCCAGAGGAAGCTGGACGCCGCGGAGGAGAGGAGAAAGGTGAGGGGTCAAAGGTCAGGGGTCAGGAAGGAAAGAAAGAAAGACAGACAGAAAGACAGCATTGACTGTTTCTAGATTGGTATTGTGGAATGCTCACAGAATGTTGGTCAGAATTGACTGTTCCCAGTTTGGTGAGGTAGAGATGGAAGTTCATAGAGTCAGGTGTGCAGTGTTGATCAGGACTGCTTTGTATCATCAAAGGGATAGGGATTGTGGTGGGGCTCTCTGCCCACTCTGGTCTCTGTTTATCCACTCACCCCTCTCTCTTCCACCTCTCTATCGCCCCCTAGTGCCAGGAGGCTGAGTTGCTGAAGCACTTGGCAGAAAAGCGGGAACATGAGCGTGAGGTGGCCCAGAAGGCCCTGGAGGAACACAACAGCTTCATCCGGCTGGCCAAGGAGCGGCTGGAGCTGCGCATGGAGCACAACAAGGAGAAACGGGAGGCACACCTGGCCGCCATGCTAGAACGCCTGCAGGAGAAGGTAGAGTTACACTCAGCTGATACCCTAGGCAGGGTTGGGGTCCATTCCATTTCAATTCACTCAATATAGGAAGTGCATTGAAGTTAATTGAAATGGAATCGACTCCAACCCTGACTCTAGCTCCGTTGTTTTTTTGTTAGTTTTTTTCATCTGTCATGGATATTATCTATATTATGGCAGAATAGTTCTAGTCGGTTGAGATATGTTATTTTTTGTGATGTTAAAGTTCAGAATGAATGCTGGGCAACAAAACTGAAACTATTATTGTCCCTATCTAATGTAGCTGGTTTGAGAAACAATCAAGACACACACATGTAATTGAGATACACTCTACTGACTAAACATCCAGAGATCATCATTGCCTTTTACCATTATTTTCTTCCCTGATATGAAACGGATAAGAAGTCTAAAGGGTGGTTTCTGTGTTTCTCTTTCAGGACAAGCACGCTGTGGAGGTGAGGAAAAACAGAGAGCATAAGGAGGAGAGCGGGTAGAAAGAGAGAGAGATTGAGAGAAAGAAAGAGAGAGAGCGTGGGGCCTCTGTTTTGTTGAGTGAGAAAAGGAGAGAAGAGAAAATACAACAAAAAGAGACGGTTTCTTAAAATCTAAATGGTATTTGTTTGACAGACGAGAATTCACAGTGATGGAATAGGAGGTGTGCATAACATATTTTTGTGCTTAAAAGTCAACAAAATCAAAATTGGAAGTTGGTAATTTTCAAAACAGGCAGAGGTGATTTCCTCAGAGTAATGGTGCAGAGATAGAAAATCAAGTTGTAGTTTTGAAGTGTAAGAGCGCTATGCACAATTTATAACAAATACACTGAGTAGATAATGCACATTCTGTAGGCTTGGCATTTATAATAGACCATGAACCCAGGACTCCCTGGAAAACAGTGGAAATTGTTACTGAGTGGACTATCCTGGCTAAATAAAATGAAAATAAAATAAAAGTAATCATTATTTGCAAGAAATTTAAACATATTCTGGTCAATAAAATCACTGACACATATACTTAAATTTAAAGCATTCTACACAAATAATGCTTGATCACACTTTTCACCAGTAGTAGTGTTGATATTGTGTACAGATGTAGGATCTTAATTTCATCACTCTTGTTGCTGAGAATTTACATTCAAAGAAGGGTTTTTATGGAGAGTATTCTCTCTCTGCAGTAGTGAAATATATAATCATGATATGGAATAAATATATGAATGAACTCAGTAGCTTTTAATTTGAATACGGTGTTGCTGGCTTGCATGATACAGTACTAGGAGCAGAAAAGCAAGCTCTTGCCTCTGACATTTGTCTTAGATGTTGATGATTTAGTTAACTAAAACAGCAGCTAAAACATGCTGAAATGCAAACTTGTGATGTATTTGAGTTTTAAAAGGCTTCTAAAGTTTGGAATTTCCACTTTGAAATGTCAGACTTGATTTGCCCCAATGAAAAATGTATCAACCCCTACAAAAATGTCCATGAATTATAATCCACATAATACTGTATTTCACATTTCCTGTTCCTGCAGGATTATTTTCCTGCTGTGGCAAACTAGCTCAAATTAAGATCCTACATCTGTACTGCTAGTTTCTTTGTGTGTTTTCAGACATAGTAGTTGTGATTAGCCGTAGAATAGCTTGTATTGCACGTATATGTATTATTTACAGATGTATGTGATATGTCACTCAATATCAATTAAAAAAGTAAAAGTCAGTATAAGAGATCCTTGTTGTTTGTATGCTTACTTACATGTGCACTAGTCACATGTGTGTGCGCGCTTCTGTCTAGCTAACTGCCCTATCTCTGAACTCTGTGTTGTAGGTGTCATGACGGCCTGATCACAACACAAGCTGAACTTATTTTGGAAGCCATTTTGGAGGCCTTCATGAAGGCCGTTCGCCAGCCTGTTCAGACTGTAGCCCTCTGGGTCCAGTTGTTTGGAGAAAAGACTCTGAGACTATGAGATGTTAATGATGACACACGAGAGAGGTGGTCAAGTCAACGACTGAAGTGGAATGTTTTAGGATCTGGGCAGTACAACAAAAAAGATTGAGCTGAAACATATGACGACTTCATCAGAGTTCTGCTCAGGATTCTCACCGATGTGCCGACAGTGCCATTGGTGTGTCTGTGGGCAGTTTGGAGGGCGGGGGGAAGTGGAGGTGTGTGTGTGCGTGTGCATGTGCGTGAGTGTGAATGTGAGTGTAAGTATGAGCATGAGCCTGAGTGTGTATGCTTCAGTAAAACCACTTTGATATCACACATTGTGCTTTGAGCTCACACCTGCAGGCAAGGTTTTAACTCACATTCCATTAATGAGTTTGGTTGGTAAACTGTCTGAGCCAACATCATTGTAACTCTACTGAGATGAATGGAGGTCAGGGTATGATGTGGCTGCTTGTTACTGTACGTAAATTGTGCTATATTTTAGATGCAAAAGGAATTAAAAGAGTTATGTTTTGAATTGATCATGTGAATTTCTTTATTCATTAAATACCAAAATATCATCCAATACATTAAATAACCCCAAAATAAATAGAGCCACATAATGAATACATACATAATCAATTGTGTGATTTAAAGATCAATAGAAAATATATCCATATTTGATTATTCAAATCGATCTTTCAATGACACAGCCAAAGCTCCATAAAACTAACACACAAATACTTTCATTACATTCTACGCATGTAGGGATTAAGCCTTAAACCTTGATATTGCCAGCACCAAGGCCCAACCAGTTGTGCCACCAGGCTGGACCTCATCACTCCAATATCATTACTGTTGGTGTTCGATGGTAGGCCTGACACAGGTGCAGCCCACTGAGATAACCTTTGACTCTAGCCGGTAGTGGCATTTCTTCCCACTTCCCATCACCTTCCACAGGACCAGGATCTGGTAGAAGATGGGTTTGGACTCCAGGTTCCTGTCCTCCTTACCCGCAACGTTCAGACATCCCTCCAGAGAGCACCTGACCTCCGAGATGATGGGGGGAAAGCGTCTATTGTCATAGGTAGTGCTGGAGAGAGAGAGAGGGGGAGCGGACGATATTAGAGATCACAATGTATTCAACAGAGCAGAGTTGATATTTCCTCATACTTATTTCAAGGCAAGCATCTTAAAGGTATGGAAGGTATAAAAACAAAGTGTGTGTGTGTGAGTGTGGGGCGGGAAAAGGAAAATGGCCCACCTCCCCATGAGGACAAAGGCTATTTTAAGCTTAAGGGTTAGGTTTAGGGTTAGGGTTACAATTAGGGTTACAATTAGGGTTAGGGTAAGGTGTTAATGGTTAGGGTTAGGAGTTAGGTTTAGGATTTGGGTTAGGTTAGGTTAGGGGTTAAGGAAAATAGAATTTTGAATGCAAATACATTTGAGATCCCCACAAGGATAGAATAACAAAATGTGTGTGTGTCTTGGTGTTGGTATCCATGTCCCCTTGTATTGTGATATTTGCATTGTGTCTGTGTAAGTTACTTGTTGGTCCTTACTTGTAAGTCCATGGGGAGATCGAATGGTTCCAAATGGGTCTGATGGAATGGGAAGGAACCAAGTCACTTGGGTCTAGGCGCAGGGGAAGAATTACTGTGTCGGGACCTGTAGACTCTGACTCTGTAGGCTTCTTGTGTGTCTGCAGGGTGTTCCGTGTGTGGATCTCTGTCTTCTCTGGATGGACACGGGGGGCCGCCTCTGCCCCCATCATCATCATCATCATCATCACCAACACCCCCATCATACACAGCACCTGAGGAACCAAGGGACTGTTAGTAGCCTGGTATTACCTCTGAAAGGTATCTTTACCCCAGGTTTCATGGGGCCTCTTACCTTTCAAACAGCACACATTTGAACGTATTGCCCAACTGATAAAGACACCAGTGGCAAAATCCAGTAATATCTTGAAGAAACTAAAATCATCACTTACCGTCAAAGACTGGAAGCTTAAAGTAGATACCATGATGCTGCTGTGTTGTGCTGTGGTCTGGTTGTTCTGTTGTTGTGTTGTGGCTCTGGTCTGGTTGTCTGAGGTGATGATGTTAGTTTTATACTGTAGTGGCCTAGTGACCGCGTGACTTCGTCACTTTGTTCACTTCCTGTGATGCTGTGACTGTCTTTCATCCTGTGCTTAGTGCTTACTAACTAACCACATAGCATGAAAAGTAGTGCACATAGTTACTGCTGACATATATGGAAATGTTAATGTCTTATTTGGGGAATTTCAAGTCCATTGTGTGGTCCATAATTGGGCCAGATAACTTTGTTCCTTGACAAAGTCAGTGGCAAAAGGCTAATATCAGTTGAGGACTTAGTTACATTTACATTTTTGTCATTTAGCAGACGCTCTTATCCAGAGCGACTTACAGTTAGTGAATGCATACATAAAAAAAAAAAAAAATTCATACTGGCCCACCGTGGGAAATGAACCCACATCCCTGCCGGCCAAACCCTCCCCTACCTTCGACGGCGCTGGACCAATTGTGTGCCGCCCATGGGTCTCCCGGTCGCGGCCGGCTGCGACAGAGCCTGGACTCGAACCAGGATCTCTAGTGGCACAGCTAGCACTGCGATGCAGTGCCTTAGACCACTGCGCCACTCGGGAGTCGTTAATGACAACTACTAGTTTACAACAAGTATTATCATTTTTATCATGATCATTGCACAAGCTTGATGTACACTCACTGGACTCTAACCACACACTCACACATACTACACTGACACTCCAACACACACACACACACACACACACACACACGGACAAACACACGAAACACACAAACATATGCATATTGGCACCACACATACACACACTCAGACACACAGACACACACACACACATTCACACACATACATTCACAGTCCTTCACACTCTTCACATTCGCTGCTGCTACTCTCTGTTTATTATCTATGAATAGTCACTTTACCCCTACCTACATGTACAGTACCAGTCAAAAGTTTGGACACACCTACTCATTCAAGGGTTTTTCTTTATTTTTACTATTTTCTACATTGTAGAATAATAGTGAAGACATCAAAACAATGAAATAACACATATGGAATCATGAGGTAACCAAAAAAGTGTTAAACAAATCAAAATATATTTTATATTTGAGATTCTTCAAAGTAGCCACCGTTTGCCTTGATGACAGCTTTGCACACTCTTGAAATGCACATTGACTCGGTACAGTTACCCCTTGTATATAGCCTCATTCTTTTATTGTGTTACTATTTTTCCTTTATTTATTTAGCAAGTTTTTCTTACTTACTTTTGAAAAACTCTACATTGTTAGTTAAGTGCTCGTAAGTAAGCATTTCACGGTAACTACACCTGTTGTATTTGGCGCATGTGACAAATAAAAATGTATTTGATTTTATTTGTTATGTAGGGCTCAACAAAGCGTTTGCCAAATAATTTTATACTGACATTAGCCAACCAGCCAGCCGTGGGAAGCTGTATGGTTATGGGCCAGAGTTGTCATGAATAGTTCTTATAGGTATGAAGATATCTATGTCACAGCAACGGTATGTCAGTTTAAACAGCCATTGTCAAGCCATGTGATTGTCATTTGAGTCTACTGACTTTTTGGAGATCAGATTAGATCTACTTTATTATCCCACCAGGGGGGGGAATTCATTTGGTCATGTGCTTAAAATGATGATGTATGTAGTTAACTGTCTGTCTGCAATTTGATATCAAAATCTTTTTGAGGACTCAAAATGTTCACTGTCCTGGGAAAATAGCACACACAAAGTTAAAATTGTATAACAGTAATAATACAACTACGCAATCATAGACACTGTACACTTCCTCGCTCTTGATACTCCCACGCTTCAACACTCAGAACATAATAGAACCAGCCCCTGACCTGGATTGTCAAGCCGACCAAACGCATAGGTTCAGAAAGACCGCACCGTAAGTTTCCATCCTTCAATTTCACATTGCTTTGTCTTGGTTTTGCGATGCACTCACGGATTGTGTTCAAAATGATATCGAGACAATGTGGTTATATTTTGGTATCATTGGGCATTTACGAAATGGCAAGGGTAGATTCCAAACTATTCATGGTAGAAAATATCTAGATGTGTTTTGGATGATTAATTTCACTGTACAGAGCTGAACCCTAACACAGTGTGTCCCAAATAGTTGGCCTGGACATGACTAGTTCCCCTTTGGTCACAACAAAGGACTGAGTTCAGGCCAGACACATTGGTTTGATTCAGTTACAAGAAAAAGCTTTAGGTGGGTCATTTACAGCCCTTTCTGAAGTAAAGGGTCATATTCTCATAGTTGCAAAACTGTATCCGGTTTGATATCCAGTTCGTGATACATAAAATAATGGAAAGCGAGGGATCTTGGAGTGACAGTTCAGGTACTCCAGAAAGGCTTGTCTGTGTTTGATGTGGCTCAGGCATTCTAGGACTTTCATTCCTCTTGTTATGTCAACACGACAATCTATGATACCAGTGTCAGAGTAAATATGGACGTCAGGCCCAGGGTTAAGCTACATGGAGTTTCTAAACATCCAGGAATCTCTGATGTTGCTTCCTCTTCCTCCGCTAACAATCTACCAGCGCGAGCTAAGTAATATCTAGGAACCACAGGAGGACACGTCGCCTGACCCCAAAAACATAATTGTAAAACAGCATATTTTTGAACTATTGCATTTTATATCAATTATATGGATTTAAAACCTGTGTATCTGTGGCTGACACTGGTCAATCAAGAGCTGAGAACAAGTCACAAATATCTCTTTCCTTTCCTGACTTTTGGTGAGTCACTTTATATACAGCATATTGTATGACTTCTCTATGAGGATAGCAGCCGTCTTATGGGCTCCTGACCAATTCCACTATTTTGTGTTTTTTTAAAGCTGATCTTAACGTTTTTTTGTACACAATGTCTCCACCATCATTTCCTATGACCGAAAACAGCGTCTGGACATCAGAACAGCGATCACTAACCTTGATTTAGATGAGAATTTCTACTTCAACGAGTTGGCAGCTCTGGATGTTCTGCTTACTCCAGACCAGGCCCTAATCCCCGGGACTCGAAGCGGCAAAAAAGAGGCAGGTGAAGCGACATCCTGATTAAACTACGTCAGCAAACAAATAGACCGCCATTGACCTCTGTTCTGTTGGCAAATGTGCAATCACTGGAAATCAAACTGGATGAGCTTTGTTCGAGAATATCTTATCAACAGGACCTGAAAAACTGTAATATCCTATGTTTCTCAGAGTCATGGCTGAATGAGGACATGAATATTCATCTCACTGGTTTCTCTATGCATCGTCAAGACCAGATGGCAGACTCAGATAAGACGAAGGGAGGAGGGATGTGTCTCTTTGATAACAACAGCTGGTGCACAATCTCTAGTTGAGGAAGTCTCAAGTTTTTGATCGCCTGAGTTAGAATACCTCATGATAAGCTGCAGACCATACTATTTACTAAGAGAGTTTTCATCTATATTTTCCGTAGCTGTCTATTTACCACCACAAACCGATGATGGCACTAAGACCACACTCAACAAGCTGTATAGGGCCATAAGCAAACAAGAAAATGCACATTCGGATGCAGCGTTTCTTGTGATTTGAATGCAGGGAAACTGAAATCTGTTTTATCTAATCTTTACCAGCATGTCACCTGTGCAACTAGAGGTCACAAAACTCTAGATCACATTTACTCCACACACAGAAATGCATACAAGGCCCTCCCTCGCCCTCCCTTTGGCAAATCAGACCATAACTCTACCCTTCTGCTTCCTGCTTACAAGCAAATACTCAAACAGGAAGTTCATCGGATGTGGTCCGATGAAGCGGATGCTAAGCTACAGAACTGTTTCGCTAGCACAGACTGGACTATGTTCTGGGATTCATCCGATAACATTGAGGAGTTTACCACATCAGTCACCGGCTTCATTAATAAGTGCATCGACAACGTCATCCCCACAGTGACCGTACGTACATACCCCAACCAGAAGCCATGGATTACAACAATCAAATCACATTTTATTGGTCACATACACATATTTAGCAGATGCTTGTGTTCGTAGCTCCAACAGTGTAGTAGTATCTAACAATTCACAACAATACACACAAATCTAAAAGTAAAATAATGGAATTAAGAAATATATAAATATTACGACAAGCAATGTTTGAGTGGCATTGACTAAAATACAGTAGAGTGCAGTATATATGAAATGAGTAAAACAGTATGTAAACATTATTAAAGTGACAAGTGTTACATTTAAAGTGACCAGTGATTCCATGTCTATGTACATAGGGCAGCAGCCTCTAAGGTGCAGGGTTGAGTAATCGGGTGGTAGCTGGCTAGTGATGGCTATTTAACAGTCTGATGGCCTTGAGATAGAAGCAGTTTTTCAGTCTTTAGGTCCCAGCTTTGATGCACTTGTACTGAGCTCGCCTTCTGGATGATAGAGGGGTGAACATGCCGTGGTTCGGGTGGTTGATGTCCTTGATGATCTTTTTGGCCTTCCTGTGACATCGGTGCTGTAGATGTCCTGGAGGGCAGGCAGTGTGCCCCCGGTGATGTGTTGGGCAGACCCCACCACCCTCTGGAGAGCCCTGCGGTTGTGGGCGGTGCAGTTACTGTACCAGGCGGTGATACAGCCCAACAGGATGCTCTCATCTGTACATCTGTAAAAGTTTGTGAGGGTCTTAGGGGCCAAGCCAAATTTCTGAGGTTGAAGAGGCGCTGTTGCGTCTTCTTCACCACACTGTCTGTGTGGGTGGACCATTTCAGATTTTCAGTGATGTGTACGCCGAGGAACTTGAAGCTTTTCACCTTCTCCACTGCGGTCCCGTCGATGTGAATAGGGGCGTGCTCTCTCTGTTGTCTCCTGAAGTCCACGATCAGCTCTTTCGTTTTGTTGATGTTGAGGGAGAGGTTATTTTCTTGCCACCACTCCGCCAGGGCCCTCACCTCCTCCCTGTAGGCTGTCTCATCATTGTTTGTAATCAGGCCTACTACTGTTGTGTCGTCTGCAAACTTCATTATTGAGTTGGAGGCTTGCGTGGCCACGCAGTCAAGGGTGAAGAGGGAGTACAGGAGGGGGCAGAGCACGCACCCTTGTGGGGCCCCTGTGTTGAGGATCAGCGTAGTGGAGGTGTTGTTTCCTACCTTCACCACCTGGGGGGCGGCCCGTCAGGAAGTCCAGGACCCAGTTGCACAGTGCGGGGTTCAGACCCAGGGCCCCAAGCTTAATGATGAGCTTGTAGGGGACTATAGTGTTGAAGGCTGAGCTATAGTCAATGAACAGCATTCTTACATAGCTATTCCTCTTGTCCTGATGGGATAGTGCAGTGAGCATCCGCACTGAGCTAAAGGCTAGAGCTGCCGCTTTCAAAGAGCGGTACGCTAATCTGGACACATAAGAAATGCCGCTATGACCTCCAATGAGCCATCAAACAGGCAAAGCGTCAATACAGCACTAAGATCGAATCCTACTACCCCGGCTCTGACGATCAATGGGTGTGTCAGGGCTTGCAAACTATCATGGATTACAAAGGGAAACCCAGCCGCGAGCTGCCCAGTGAGGCGAGCCTACTGTACCAGACAAGCTAAATGCCTTCTATGCTTGCTTCGATGCAAGCAATCATGCATGACAGAATCAGATGTTCCGGACAACTGTGTGATTTTTCTCGATATGAGTAAGACCATTAAACAGGTAAACATTCGCAAGGCCGCAGGGCCAGACGGAATACCAGGCCATGTACTCAGAGCATGCGCTGACCAGTTGGCAATTGTCTTCACTGACATTTTCAACCTATCCCTGGCCCAGTCTGTAATACCAACTGTAGTCCCTGTAACCAAGAACGCCAAGGTAACTTGACTAAATGACTATGACCACGTAGCACTCACATCTATAGCCATGAAATGCTTTGAAAGGCTTGTCATGGCTCACATCAACACCATCATCCCAGACATCTTGTACCCACTCCAATTCGCATACCGGCCCTACAGATCCACAGATGACGCAATCTCTATTGCACTCCGCACTCCAAATAATTTTTTTATTTTATTTGTTGTGTTTTGTTGTCTCATGGGTAGCAAATAAATCAGATGCATTTTATTTATCGACATGCACACATCCTCTCTCCAGATAAAATGGGTCACAGAAGTGCTGACACGCTTCCCAGCCCTACAGGCCCTGAGCACCACACAAGACTCTGACCAGTCACAGCAGCAGACTCAGAATGACACCTTGACACCTTCTGACAGAGACCACAACAGGGGACACTAGGAATCACATCACACAGGGTGACAAGGTTGCATCACAGGAAGAGGAGGTACTGTATAGTACAATACCCGTAAGATATCTCTCTCTCTCTTCTCTCTCTCTCTCTCTCTCTCTCTCTCTCTCTCTTCCTCTTCTCCTCTCTCTCTCTCTCTCTCCATCGGTCCTGTCACCCCCCTCGTCCCTCTCGTCTCTCCTCTCTCCTCTCTCCCGGGGAAGGTCAGATTCGTACTCTGCTCTCGTCATCTATCTCCTCTCTCATCTCTCTCTCTCTCTCGCTATCTCTATCTCTCTCTCTCTCTCTCTCCTCTCTCTCTCTTCTCGCTCTCTCTCTCCTCTCGCTCACTCTCTCTCTCTCTCACTCTCTCTCTCTCCTCTTCTTCTCTCCTCTCTCCTCTCTCCTCTCCTGCCATCTCCCTCTCTCTCGGGTGTTGTTAGATTAGATGTAGCCTGTTCTAAAATAGGACAGTGGCTGGATGCAGTCAGCCTCTCACTCATCTGTGTGATGCTGTGCAGTGGTTGAGTGGTAGAGAGCACATGGGGAAACTGTATCATTGGAGGCATCTATCTAGAACAGAGTTTCGTCTAGATGGAGAGATAGATAGCAAAGCTGTTGTGTAGTTCATAGCCTAGCGTGTGCAGGAATGACTAGACTACAACCGCGTAGGAGGAGGTAGGAGTATCACACAACCGCTGCTTCTCTGATATTATCTTCTCAGCCTATGTGGTTGATCACTGAGATAAAAAGATAGATGCATGCAACTGGCTACAGGAATGACCAACCATAGTACTATAGCTGCAGTGTGTGCAGGCTTACGTTCCAGCCCAGCAATAATACACAATTTACCTTAACAAGACCTTGATGATGAGTTCACTAGTTGAATCAGGTGTGTTTTTGCTGAGATGGGCCTGGTTCTCCAAAAGCATGTTAAGGCTAAGTTCATAGTTAGAAACTTCATAAGAGAATCATTAAATCTCCCCAAACCATCGCTATTAACGTTTCACTTGAAAACGGTCGCAATCTTCTGCCTGCCTCAGAACAGCTAATTGCATCGTTAGATGCTTTTTTGCCCTCCCGTATCACTTTATACACAGAAGATCCCCAGTAAACATAGACTCACATGGTTTATCCAGCTCTCTGTGACAGCTGATAAATTTGGAAAAACATTTACTATAAATACAGTTGCCAATGTCTTTGCAATTGATACAAACAAGCAACGTATAAAAATCTGCTTAAAATGAAAACCGAGATGACTGCATTAAAATATAAATACAGTAGGCTATAGGCCTATTTCAATCCTATTGAAATACATTTCATGTTCAATCAATTGAGTTCTATTTTCCTACTTGTAGGCTACTGTCTGTAATTTGTATCAATATTTAATGATGTGTAATGTGTAGCCTAAATCGTTAACTTAGTGCATTTTATTTGGTAAGCATTAGAATAAGCGCCCTCAATATTTGCAGCCGTAGGTGTTAATATCTCTCTAGGAGCTGATACGTCATCAGTATTGTGAAATAATGCTAATGTTAAAGTAAAATTTAAATAGAGAAAACTGATCCCAGATCAGCCCTGCCTTTCTTTCGATCCTATCAGTTTCGAGACATGCTCCAATGACGCACTTAGCGACTGTGTTTTGGGAAACGCATGTTTCTGGCCATTGTAGGAAAGATGCATCGTTAAAACACTCCTAAACCTAAATTCCATCGCTATCGTGAAACTGGGCCCTGAGCTGTAACAAAAGCATACACACCCTGTAGGTCCCCAGGACCAGCAATCAAGTACATTGCACTAGGAGAAGCAAACAGAGTCACACATAAACAAAATTATATGCTCTTATATAATCAAGAGATAATATAATCTAGTCTTCCCTTCCCTAAGAATTTTGTAGAGGATGCACAATGTCCGTGAGGGAAATTAGTCATCCAGTTTTAAAGGGCAACTCAACCACTTCTCAACCTCATTTTCATTATCTTCAGCACAAAAACAGTGATTTTCAAACACTATGAGATTTGCGGTGACGTGGGGAGCAAGAAAATACACTCCCTCTGGCTAGAAACTCATTACAAGTTTTGAAAATCACAGTTTTTCTTACTTTTAATCCTACCCTGTGATGTCACAGAGAAGCATTTTTTTGAAAGTTTTTAAACACGGATCATATAAACATGCCATTTTCACATATGTAGACACTGGTATGGTGCTGGAGATAATGAATATGAGGTTGAAAAGTAGTGGACATTTCCTTTAACACCCTTTTGCATGGTGTTTCCACACCCAAGGAGGCTGGTAGTAGATTAGGTGATAAGGCCAACTAACTTAGATCTGCAGAATCTCCCTTTGTTTCCAATGGTCTACCACCGATATGAAGGTCAAAGATAACATCTCATTTTTATCACTTTTCTAATCAATAATACTTGCAGTTCTTCCACTCAAGGCAATCAGATAAATACATCACACCGGGAGACAGAAGTTATGTGACAGACATCAGAGATGGAGCTCAAAAGCAACGTGTCGAAGTATCTGGTGAGTAAAACAGACAGCATGTGTGATAAAGCTACTACTAAGGTTTTTTGTTATACTGAAAGTCATTTGTAACAATCTATTTATTTGCCATACTTTTATTGCCATATACTTCTGATGTGCTAGTTGATTCATCTTATAAAAAACAAACGAATTGGTTGCCTCATGTATTCATCAGTACAGTGCAGCATCACATCCGATTTGGACAAATTGATTCATTCAATTGATGAAAATGCAAGTAGAATAGTTTCTGTCCCATGGTTTTTGATTAGCCTGTCTGTTTCTGCTTTAGTTTCAGCACTATTCATTTGTTACATAACTTATAATATTTCCATCTCTTCCCGTCCTCAGGTTGTGTGCGGTGTCTCTATGCTGCTGGGCCTGACAATGGCCAAAGGGAAGGAGGAGGAGAAGGAGAGGTGTGAGGACACACTGACTATCCCTTCAGACTACTACAAGACTCCTTCAGAGGAATCAGAAGGAAACGGGAACATCCACACACGCTCCCTGTCCCCCTGGACCTGGAAGTGAGTTTCCAGTAACACACACACTAAAGTATTTGATACTGTACTTAAAGGGATAGTTTTCAGAAATGTTGACCTCGGGAGGAGTTATGCTACTGTCTTACAATGTTAATACAAGCTCTAAGGAAAGCCTGTGAAAACTATCCCTTCAAACAGTATTTAGTACGTTTTACTGTTAAAATATTTGTTGTTGATTTATTGCTTAAGTGGTTTTCTTCTCTTTCTGTTCCATCTCCAGACCCACTACAGTCGAGAACAGTATTCCTACGACCATTTGGGAGGCCGAGTGCAGCTCTATGTACTGTGTCTACCCCACCAACAGCAGCCAGGCCGTGGGCTATAGGCAGAACTCTGTACTTATCTACCAGCAGGTCCTGGTGCTCCACACCTCAGCCACTAGGAAGTGCTACAGCGTCTCCTTCCTGTCCATGGCCGTGGGGTGCACCTGTGCCTGGGCAAGGACATCTTGATGTAGCCAGCAGAACAGTACATCCATGGTCTTACTTTGTTTGGTTATTCATTTAATTCAATCAAAATGTTATTTAATTTATTTTAATTGAAAGCTTCCATGGGAAGTCCAACATTTGTTGATCCTACAAAGCCAGAAGAATTGACTGTGATTAACTGAGTAGAATTCAAGAAAAAGATCACCATTGAAATGTAATGCATTTATAAATGTTTTCCATTTGAGCAATAAAATCATTTTAAAAACCCAATTGTCTTAAACCTTTTGAACCATAAATATGTTTTTTTAATATTATATAATAGAAAACGAATAGAATAGAAAAAGCCTTTCATGAACTGACACTCACACTCTTTTCCCCCTTACCAGCTCTGACTGCTATGACTGTGATACAGTGTGTTCAGATAATTGATTTATTCCACATTTTGTTGTGTTACAGCCTGAATTCAAAATAGATTAAATATATATTTTTCTCTCTCACCTATCTACACACAATATCCCATAATGACAAAGTGAAAACATGTTTTTAGAAATATTTTAAAATGTCTTGAAAATGAAACACAGAAATATCTCATTTACATAAGTATTCACACCTCTGGGTCAATGTTAGAATCACCTTTGTCAGCGATTACAGCAGCTCTTTCTGGGTAAATCTGCAAGAGCTTTGCGCACCTGGATTGTACAATATTGTACAACGGATTGTACAATATTTAAAATTATTCAAGCTCTGTCAAGTTCGTTGTTGATCATTGCTAGACAGCTATTTTCAAGTCTTGCCATAGATTTTCAAGCCGATTTACACTACCAGTCAAAGTTTAGACACACCTACTCATTCAAGGGTTTTTCTTTATTTTTTACTATTTTTTACATTGTAGAATAATAGTGAAGACATCAAAACTATGAAATAACACATATGGAATCATGTAGTAACCAAAAAAGTGTTAAACAAATCAAAATATATTTTATATTTGAGATTCTTCAAATAGCCACCGATTGCCTTGATGACAGCCTTGCACACTCTTGGCATTCTCTCAACCAGCTTCATGAGGTAGTCACCTGGAATGCATTTCAATTAACAGGTGTGCCTTCTTAAAAGTTAATTTGTGGAATTTCTTTCCTTCTTAATGCGTTTGAGCCAATCAGTTGTGTTGTGACAAGGTGTACAGAAGATCGCCCTATTTGGTAAAAGACCAAGTCCATATTATGTAAAGAACAGCTCAAATAAGCAAAGAGAAATGACAGTCCATCATTACTTTAAGACATGAAGGTCAGTCAATACGGAAAATGTCAAGAACTTTGAAAGTTTCTTCAAGTGCAGTTGCAAAAACCATCAAGCACTATGATGAAACTTGCTCTCATGAGGACCACCACAGGAATGGAAGACCCAGAGTTACCTCTGCTGCAGAGGATAACTTCATTAGAGTTACCTGCCTCAGAAATTGCAGCCCAAATAAATGCTTCACAGAGTTGAAGTCACAGACACATCTCAACATCAACTGTTCAGAGGGGACTGTGTGAATCAGGCCTTCGTGGTCGAATTGCTGCAAAGAAAGCACTACTAAAGGACACCAATAATATGAAGAGACCTGCTTGGGCCAAGAAACACGAGCAATGGACATTAGACAGGTGGCAATTTGTCCTTTGGTCTGGAGTCCAAATTTGAGATTTTTGGTTCTTTGGTGTGGGTGAACGGATTATCTCCACATATGTAGTTCCCACCGTAAAGCATGGAGGAAGAGGTGTTAGGGTGTGGGGGCGCTTTGCTGGTGACACTGTCTGTGATTTATTTAGAATTCAAGGCACACTTAACCAGCATGGCTACCACAGCATTCTGCAGCGATACGCCATCCCATCTGGTTTGGGCTTAGTGGGACTATCATTGTTTTTTCAACAGGACAATGACCCAACACACTTCCTGGCTGTGTAAGGGCTATTTGACCAAGAAGGAGAGTGATGGAGTGCTGCATCAGATGACCTGGCCTCCACAATCCCCCGACCTCAAACCAATTGAGATGGTTTGGGATGAGTCGGACAGCAGAGTGAAGGAAAAGCAGCACACAAGTGCTAAGCATATGTGGGAACTCCTTCAAGACTGTTGGAAAAGCATTCCAGGTGAAGCTGGTTGAGAGAATGCCAAGAGTGTGCAAAGCTGTCATCAAGGCAAAGGGTGACTATTTGAAGAATCTCAAATATAAAATATATTTTGATTTGTTTAACACTTTTTTGGTTACTACATGATTCCATATGTGTTATTTAATATTTTTGATGTCTTCACTATTATTCTACAATGTAGAAAATAGTCAAAATAAAGAAAAACCCTTGAATGAGTAGGTGTGTCCAAACTTTTGATTGGTACTGTAAGTCAAAACTTTAACTAGGCCACTCCGGAACATTCAATGTCGTCTTGATAAGCAACTCCAGTGTATATTTGGCCTCGTGTTTTAGGTAATTGTCCTGCTGAAAGGTGAATTTGTCTCCCAGTGTCTGTTGGAAAGCAGACTGAACCAGGTTTCCCTCTAAGATTTTGCCTGTGCTTAGCTCTATTCTGTTTCTTAAAAAAAACCTCCCATGTCCTTGCCGATGACAAGCATAGCCATAACATGATGCAGCCACCACCATGCTTGAAAATATGAAGAGTGATGCTCAGTGATGGTTGTGTTGGATTTTCTCCAAACACAACACTTTGTATTCAGGACATTAAGTTTGTTTCTTTGCCACAATTTTAGCAGTTTTAATTAAGTGCCTTATTGCAAACAGGATGCATGTTTTTATTTACCCATCTACCAATGTGTGCCCTTCTTTATGAGGCATTGGAAAACCTCCCTGGTCTTTTTGGTTGAATCTGTGTTTTAAATTCATTGCTCGACTTAGGGACCTTACAGATAATTGTATGTGTTGGGTACAGAGATGAGGTAGTCATTCAAAAATCATGTTAAACACTAATAAATTGCATTGATTAATAAGTCCATGCAACTTATTTTGTGACTTGTTAAGCACATTTTTACTCCTGAACTTATTTAGGCTTGCCATAACAAAGTGGTTGAATACTTAATGACTCAAGACATTTCAGCTTGTAATTTTTAATTAATTTGTAAAGAATTACTAAAAACATAATTCCACTTAGACATTATGGTGTATTGTGTGTAGGCCAGTGACAATAAATCTAAATGTAATCAATTTTAAATTCAGGTTGTAACACAACAAAATGTGGAAAAAGTCAAGGGGTGTGAATACTCTGTAGGCACTGTTTGTGGTTGTCCCACCTTGCTATCTTAAGATGAATGCACTAAATGTAAGTCTCTCTGGATAAGAGCGTCTGCTAAATGACTAAAATGTAAAAATGTAGAATAGAGTATAAGAATGGAATGTGTTCAGTCCATTAAACAGAATTGAAAATTCAGCAGCAGCAGTTTAAAGAATGTCTCATGACTGATAATCCTCGTGGTCTGCAGTTTGAGAGGAAAATAATCATAATTAGAAATAATTCCTTACATTCATTAAGAAAAGGAGGCAGTATTTTATTAAGCTGACTAAGAGGCAGGAGAACATACTGTCTATTACGAGAGAGAGAGAGAGAGAGAAAGAATAAGTATTCAACTCTTTTGTTATGGCAAGCCTAAATAAGTTCAGGAATAAAAATGTGCTTAACAAGTCACATAATAAGTTGCATGGATTTATTCATCCTTGCAACTTATTAGTGTTTAACATGATTTTTGAATGACTACCTCATCTCTGTACCCCACACATACAATTATCTGTAAGGTCCCTCAGTCGAGCAGTGAATTTCAAATCGATTCAAAAGATGGCCAAGCAAAATAGATGTATTTACTTTAGGACTGAAGGAATGATGTCTGGGCTCGGTGGGAGTGAAATGTTGATACACACTGAGTTAAAGTAGTTGGAGGTGGGAGAGTTCAGAAAGGGAGAGTTTCAGGTAAGTTCCCTTTTCCTTCTCTCACCTCTGTGGAACACCTGCCTATACTTCTATATTTACATTCTAGTAATTTAGCAGACACTCTTATCCAGAGCGACTTAAAGTAGTGACCCACTGGACTCAAACTGGTTGAATCAATGTTGTTTCAACTTAATTTGCCAACGTATTGTGATGTGGAATCTACATGGAAAATACACTGGATTTTATTCACGTCTCCATCGCAACCAAAAATCTATGTTGTTTGAGGGTGGAATTTCAACCACAGCATTATGTCATCATTGTAACCAGTGCTGTGTGTAAGTTGACTATGCAAACAATTTGGAATTTCCAACACATTAATGTTTCTTACGTCTTTCCTCAATTCTTAGCCAACAGAGAATGGTATGCATAGTATTAATATTAGCCCTCTGATTACAATGAAGAACAAGAAGTGCCGCTCTGTTCTGTGCCAGCTGCAGCTTAACTAGGTCCTTCTTTGCAGCACTTTACCATATACCTGGACAATAATCAAGATAAGATAAAACTAGAGCCTGCAGGACTTGCTTTATGGAGTGTGGTGTCAAAAAAGCAGAACATCTCTTTATTACTGACAGACCTCTCCCCATCTTTACAACATGACAGTTTACAATCTAAGGTAACACCAAGTAATTTAGTCTCCTCAACTTGTTCAACAACTACACCATTCATTACCAGATTCTGGCCACCCATTCCAAAACAGACTGCAACTCTTTGTTAAGGGTTTCAGTGACTTAATTAGCTGTGGTTGCTGATGCTTATATGGTTAAATGAGTCATAAGCATACATGGACACACATGCTTTGTTTAATGCCAGTGGCAGGTCATTGGTAAAAATAAAAAAAGAGTAGAGGGCCTAGAGAGCTGCCCTGCGGTACACCCCACTTTACATGTTTGACATTAGAGAAGCTTCCATTAAAGAAAACCATCTGAGTTCTATTAGATAGATAGCTCTGAATCCATGATATGGCAGAGGTTGAAAAGCCATAACATATAAGTTCTCAACAACAGGTTATGGTCAATAATATCAAAGGCTGCACTGAAATCTAACAGTACAGC